ATACATCATTGTTCGTCATTACTTCAGCCAGGTGAGGTCTCACGCGCCAACTTGGTACCATATCATTGCGTGCTCGTTGCATATTAAAAAACATTTTATCTAGTGCAAAATGCTTGAATTCCCGCGCTCTGCGCGATCGTGCCAGCATGTAGGTGATGGCTTTGACTAGACTTCCCCAAAGTAAGAATATCCACATGGACGATTTCTGACTGTTCGTTCCTGAAATTTCCTCTGCATTTCTCCCAGGGACCGTATTCAAAGTGCCCTGGTTAACAGAGAACGCCATTGTGGTCGTATTCATCAACGAAGCGAAAGACTGGGTAAAATCGGTATTCACAAGTTCTCCGCGGTTTGCTAACCCATCACGTCAGCAATGTGCTTCTCTAATCACATTTTTATTCGCTCGACACACACGTATCGCGCTAACCCAAAAGCGCCAACACGCTTGACACGCTTTCGGAAATTCACATGTTCGAAAGAATGGACATCAAACAATGTCTTTTGCGCACAATGTTTCCAAGGTAGTTGGGCAAACTTTGCTATAGCAAGTTGATGCTATACTCGAATCTCACATTATTGCATATGAGTGTAAAAGTGTCTCTTCGTTGGAGCAGGGGGTAAAATTGAGCGAATTTGTAATTGCAAGTAAGAGAACGTTATCAGAGTTACCCAGATTTCCCATTTTTAGCTTTCCTGTACGGTGACGTGCAAATGTTAGGGAAGGGGGTACGTTTTCCTTGGCTTGACATGTGCAAGAATTATCAATGAACAGACTTCTGTCTCTTTGATGCATACAAGTTTGTGACTAGCACGGTCAATTATTTTCCTTCTTTTCTCTGTCATGTTCCACGCATGGACCGCCTAAGCGTTATGGACCGCGCACGGCGCGTGCTCTGCAATAATGTTCAGCTCGTACGTCAGTGCTACATTATTTCTTCAAAGCGGTTGTCTGCAGGCTTCATTAGATCAAAAAAAAATTTCATTAAAGGCAGCGTCCAGGCGTCCGGCTTCATTGAAGAGGCAGCGTCCTCTGAACCTATGGGGATTTTACTTGGAATTTTTTAATTGTAATTTTGGGGCCCTAACTAAGGCACTGCCCAAGCGGCAGCACATGCGACTCACTAACGGCATCAGTATCGCGCGAGGACTCACGCGAAACTGATGGGTTGCGCCATGAATCCATGCGAACTACGATCCTGTGTTCCAGTTTCGAGGGAGATATTTCAGCCGTTAGAGCACAACCTAAGCTGCCGATTGGGTAGTGCCTTAGTCTGGGCCCCAAAATCACTATCCACATGGAATCCCCATGTTTTAGAATTATCTCGACGCTGCCTTCAATTGAAATTAGTCTGCAGAGCATACGAACTTGCCAGATACGTAGACACAAAGAGATTGTCTCCACAGTCGCAGCAATATGTGATAGCATTAGCAAACGTTGAAAGGTCCTTGAGCTCCCTACAAATTGATGCTAAGTTCTTCCAAAATTGTTTGTGACTTTTCTAAGATTGCCAAGCTGACTGAACCAATCTGGCTTGCCCTCTTTGTTCAAATACTGTTCTTAGATTTATTTGCAAAAATTTGCTAGAACTCTCAATAGGTACTGAAAATATTTAGCATAGTGTTGTTTATAGTTACCATCACTGCTGACAAGGGTCTTTTAACATTCAGCAAAGGGGATAGGCTCGTATGTAACCCATCGCGAAATTTGCACCACGCTTGAGTTTGCGAAACCCAGTGCTTAAACCCACAGGAACTGGGTAACTTGTTTCGTGAGTAGCGGTACGATCGACTTTTGTGTTCGGTCGTGAATATCGGTTAAGTGGTTTTTGTGGGTTACGGAACCCACTGCCTAGGCTTAACCGACTGGGTTCCAAACCCGTTAGTTTCGTAAATACCGATTTCGTGGGTCAAGGCTACCCAGTGTGTTCCGGAACGGAAACCACTGGCTTCGTTATGAATACGGCCACGACGTCGACGCCAAACGCGAGCGAGGAAAACCGCTGACGCGATGGTTAGATATGTTCACAAAGCCTTCTGATGTAGCCTCGTATTTCCTCGTATTCCTAGTGCAATATGCAAGATTGGTTTCCAATCGTCGGGGACAGGGACGTGTGGAGGCATCACAGGTCGTACAATACGACGATCATCGTGGATATGGAGTGATTTTCTTTAGTTAGTGGTCGTCACATCCAATCTGTGATTGGTCTCGACGATCGCAGAAACAAATTAGCTTTCTCTTGCCTCCCGAGTTTCGAAGCAGCTTTGCCAAAGCTGAAATCTGTGATCCGATACCGTAAAAAGAACTGGAATTTGTCACAGGTTTTGATCCAATCCATTAGATCATTGTGCATGTTCTGCTTTAAATTACATGTCTTTTTTTCCCTATCTTTTTACATCCCTTATCCTGCCCCCTGCAATGCGAAGATTGAGCAACCGTCATTGTCAATAGACTGAGGAACAAAATACCACTTTTCAGGCACTGTCTCTAAACTATCGAAGGTATGATAGGGCTGCGGAGTTGGGATCATTAGGTGGTAAAATTTACAGTCAATGTTGATTACGAGTGTTTTTAGTAAGTGGCCCTTCCAAATGAAATCCAAACCTGCACAAGTTGGCATGAGGAGAAGCATGGCAGATATCTAAGGATAAAGGTCTTGGCGTCTTCAATACATCTGCGCGCGTGCGCCAATCATTCTCCCTCATAGTCTAGAAGGCTACTGTAGTACAGGCCTTTCACAATGACTTGCAAGCCCCGAGAATGGGTCGCGAAATTTTTGAAAGTTACTTAAATGTGTTATAAAAAATGCCAAAGGACTCGTTTTTATTTGTAAATAATTAAAATAATTTTTAAAAATTTTTGAATTCAAATTAGCCTTATAAAAAAATTTTTTGCCGCCACGCCCCTTTTTTGAAATTTTGGGGTCAGGGGCCCGGAAAAACTTTGGGAAACATCCCAAAAAATTTTTCGGAGTGCGTGGCTGATGCCACGCACCTTCAGTAGAAAGAAATTTTGTCCCCCCTCCCCCCCCCCCCCCGGAGCCGAAATCCTGGGTACGCCACTGCTTGCAGGGGAAACCGATTATCAAGTCAGTGCTTCTTTTATTCTCCCAAATTACTCTTTAGTATTAGTTCACCATCCCAGAAGGTAGAGAGCTAGATTGGCCGAGGAGCAGGATCGAACTTTGGTCCTAGCTGGTCATGGCGGCGCCCCACGACTACGCCATTCGTCTCCTGCGGAGGAGATAATGAAAGCAAACTCGAAATCAGCTTTAACTGCCCTCCACATAATAGGGAATCTTCACATTATATTCGTCTTCACTTCTCCAAAGCAACTCATCAAAGGAAAATTCATTCCAAAAACTTTATTTTCTTTGATACATCAATGTACTGCTGTATGGCATGACGAGAAAAGAACTTGATAGTACCCTAATTTCACGCGTACAAGGCGCGGGGGATTTTTTTCCAAAATCGACCAGCCCAAATACGCCAGAGAACTTCGCAGCCAAAGGACCCTATGCCTTGCTGTATATTGCTTAAGAGAATCGTACGGCATAAGGATCGCTTTCCGAAATAATCGAAAAAGGTGCGCCTTGTACGCGTGAAATTAGGGTAAACAAATTTAAACGTTATAACTTATGGGAATGGCATGAGACTTTGGTTATCACAGAAAATGCACTGGAAACTCCAGAAGATCAGGAAACACCGCCGCATGGAGAGCAAAACAAGTACCAAGACCATGTATTCACATCCACACCTTCAGATACAGGATCAGCATAATTAACAGAATGACTACTATTACGACAATTGCGATGATAATGTAGATCTTCTTCTGAAATAAAATCGGTTTCAACACTAGTCTTATCTTTATTTTGCCGATGATTTGTCTATGGGTTTGTAGTTGAAACACACGGTGTACCGCACAGACATGGGAAGTGGAACATTTGAAAACGAAGGAAAACAAAAGTAGATCCCAAAGGTTTATTCAGTTCTCATGAGAATCCAGATAAGAGATCATGTTAATATGCAAAGATCACTGAAATGAAATGATTAAAAACATGAAAACACTCTACGTCAGCAATTAAGTGCATATTATGGGTCTAGACGCTCTACAAAAAATTATAAAATGGTTCTTACCACTGCTAACAATTTTTCATCTGTCACTCAGCGATTACTGCTCTGCACTATCTAGTGTGTGCCAACTATAAGCTTGAAAACTAGATCGGAAGTTGCATTAACTTTGAATCATCTCCAATGCTTGATTATACGGACTGAGTACAAATGGTTTTCTCTACGTTGCTTATTCAGACTACAGTTTATCAAACCCGGTAGAATCACAGCACTGACCATAACAGTTTTTCATTGAAATCACAAAGCAAATTGCCTCTAGGGAACATGTTCTGAGAAAACTGTATCCTTTTTTTTCTATTCAAATGAGGCTTACTGAATCAAATTTGCCGATTTGAAGAGAATAGTCATCTGACAAGATAGTTCAGTTGACAATTGTTAATCCAATTTGAATAGAATATAAAAAATTTAATTGACAATTTGAACATAATTTGCCACCATAATCTCAAATTTCAAGGCAGATGATATATTTGCAACTCTCTTTGAAAAAAAAATGGCGGGATCTGAGATCATATCATGGCGCGTTCAGAATTCTTTTAGTCTGGATCCAGCTGGATTCGTTCGCGCTATATTCGAACAATGGTCTATCGCAGTCACGAAGTCCGCAACTGCGCCCGTGCCGGTCGCAAGAGCGTATGCCGTGACACAAAGTTCGCGCCCTTCGAACCAGATTATATCTGGATCACGGGTTAGAAAGATAAATCTTTTATAGGCGCCCTTCCGCGGACTGCTAATCCCTACACGATGCAAAAGCTTGTGCGACCTGTGTTCCGCGGAGGAGGCGCCTATTGGCGGAATTCGTTCCTGTCCCTGGATCACACGGCAACCATAACCGCAAATCCGGGGAGAAAATAAATTAAGTTGGCTGTCTGACCAGTGCTTAGCAGAAACCGCTATGAGCGTACAGATGATACACTTGGAATAGAATGGAGAGGCAAGAAACCGATTACGGCAGTGAAAGAGCCCGTACGCGTCTACTTGGACTAGAAAATCGTGCGGGCTCCGTTCGAACAGTGCAAACTGCAGCCACGAAGCCGAGCGCTAGTCGCCCGCGCCAATCGCAGCGTTTAACCAGTACATAACATATATATTAATTAGCCAAGAAAAGCAAATTAAGAGAAAACAAACAAACACAGGCAAAAAATATGCAACGACTGGGAGCGGATATTGCTTACAGTGACACGGATTGTTTGGGAATAACAACACTTGAACACACATAAAATAGGTATACTAATTCACGTATTATTAGAAATTACCTTAACGACAAGACAAACTTACTGAAAAATAAAGTATTGTGTTTCTATATAGCAGACATGATTATGCATAAATGTGGCTCGTTTAAGTAGCAAGCACACTATTATTTGGCACGAAAAACATCGCTCTCATATACCAGGAATGAAACTCATAATGATTAGCGCACCGATAGCTATGAGGATGACGACAACGATTAGAATTATGATCTTCTTCTGAAAATGTCAATTTTTTGTTACTGCAAAATTTGTACCACCTCACGAGCACAATACCACACAACGTTTACACTCGTAGGAATATTTATTGAAGCGCAATGAAACAACCACAATGTTATGCTGAGGTCGCGACCTTCGCGCCATTCACATGGCGAGAAATGCACATCACAACTTTTGAGAGATGCAAAGTAACTCTTAGTGGCACATGAACAAACACACTATAGTTGGGAACATTAGAATTTATCAAAGCGAAATACAAAGGCGATTTCAGTATGGGTGACGGTTTAGATACGCAGCTTTCCGTGCTTGCTTACCCAGCGAAGAAAATTCGAAGGCATACGCAATTCCAAAGTAATTACCCAATTTTCTTGGGCCTAGACCGCGATTTATCCACTCCGCAGGCATCAGGGTCTCGCGCTACACATGTGCCTTCGCGAAGCGTTCGCTTTCTAAGCAGTTATACTAGTTAAGGAGGGAGCCCCCTCCCCCCGGACAAAAAATGCTACCCCTCGGTGTGTAGGGATAAAGCTTGCTTCAAGTCATTCGATCTTTCTAAATTTACTGTGATAAGTATAGATTACTTGTGATGAAACTTCATAAATGGCGATCTCAATCAAAATTGGTAGAAATTTTGCATAATTTGCGAAGTCAATAAGATTCCTTCAAGGATTCAGAATCAACGTTTCGATAGATTCTACTTCAAGGTTTTATATCAATCTTTGCAACGTGATCAGGTTTTAGATGACTTTTTTGGAACAATCCCATAACAATGACGCACAAAGGGGCGGAAGGGGAGGAAATAGAACATTTGTGGGAACAAAATAGCAAGCATTTGAAATTTTACTGATTTTGTTTGGAGGATAAAAGTCGGTTAACAAAGTAGCTAGAAAGTAGAGATAAACAATAAAGATTAGCTTTCTTCTCAAGACTTCAGTGAAGTAAGCAATTTTTGGTGGACTGAAAGATTAACCAGTAGTTAGGTCAAAAAAAAGGGCCGCTTGAGAAATTTTAAAAGCAGAAAAAAAAGCCATTTTATCATTTCTAGTTAAGTCGAGATGTTTTCAGACATCAATCGATGATTACGGATCCCCAAGGTGGCCACGACTCAACACTTTTTTTATACCGCGACAATCAGACTTTTTCTTCCTGCAACACAGTCACCCATACTGGTATCCACGAAGGAGAAATGAGGTTGTGGGAAACATGACAAAATGCATGAATATGGTATAAAAACACAATGCACACACGACAAAATGATCACAACATCGAAAGGCAATTACATCACAGTACAACACCTGATAGGTACGACACACGGTACCAATTATATCAAATAGAAAGAAAAAAAAGGAATCTATGAGCGAAATATTATAGGACTAGTTTGTATCTGATGTCAAAACCCAAAATTATGCCTAATTTATATATTTGTTCTATGGGGGGACTATATCAAGAATGAGAAAAAATACTTCCAAAAAATTATCAAAAGACCCGCAAACTACTATCTTTTTGCATGTACAGAATTAGGCGATGGTTCAGACAACTTCACAGCATTAGGTGATCGTGGTTTATCCTCGACTGTTACTTTGGGTTTCGGAACGGAAGCATTCGCTGTGGCTACCCAAATTATGATGCCAACAATAATCAGTAGTAGAATTACTATTACTGTTATTATTATGCAGATCTTTTTCTGAAAATTCGATAATGAGTGAATCACTAAATTTGGCAAAGAGAGAAAAAAATGCTAATGGCTCGATTAGAAATGATCAAAACTAATCACGAAGAAGATGATAAAAAAGAAATCACCGATTACCCGTAAAGCTATAGATTAGAATACCGCAGAAAAAACGTAAAGAGCAGAACTAGTCTGTTAACAAGGGAAAGGGACAGAACTTCGCAAGAATGCACAAGACAGGAAAGATTATTGAACTAAATACTATGAATCTACGCCGAAATATAAACCCAAGCATTCGACTTCGTACTTTTCGACTCCCACCCTAATCAACCCAATATTTCTAGCCCACAGAATTTTCTAATTTTTTTCAACTGCCATTTCCCACCCACCCTAATCAACCCAATATTTCTAGCCCACAGAATTTTCTAATTTTTTTCAACTGCCATTTCCCACTTAAGGTTATAAAAAAGTTTCATGTCTCATAAAAAAAGTGCCTAGAACACCCAAGCAGAAAGAAGAAAATGTTCCAAAAAATAAAGTAACCCATGCTTACGCAGATTCTTATGAGAGTAATCATGTGCGCAACCACGGAAGTTTCAAATCTTATGCCTGAGCCGCCAAAAAAAAATTCAGAGAAAAACCAATTCGCAATTCGCCCATTTCTCCCTTTCCTTTCCCTGCTCGCCTCTAAAACGTCTATGAAAAGCAAATTATTGAATTTGTAGGCAAACCCGTGTTCGTGTAATAGACTCCAGCACAGAAGGCAGAGACGACTCAAACACGCTAAAGACGCGATAATGCGACCCAGACATGCAAGACATCCATCATGCACACTACTACTACTATAACAACTCACGACAGAGACAGCACCACCAAACTACAAGATCCCGAAAAGAATATCAAGTCAACTCACCCTTCGAGCTTTGCTTTGATATTGTACGGCTTTTTTCGTATCGGCTACGGCTCGATCGACAAATTCCTTCGCATGTTCCACGTTGTACTCGATCCGATCCACCATTTCTCCCTAAACAGCGCAAGTCAGTCTTAACTCATTCAACTAATTTGCTCTAAGCTGTCAATTGTCGTCGGAAGAGGGAAAAAGTAGACCAAGTACATATTGCTTTCTCACGACGGCAGTATGTTTTCACGCGATAATTAGATTAGTCGATATAGAGCAAAAAAGCATATAATCTGGGGATATGCTGTGAAAATCTGATAATGAAAGAAGTTGACTGCATGCTGCGGACATTTACAAGATTTTTTTTTGCATCATTATGAAGCAAGCATAGATTTTTTATGCACATTTGTGCGCCGAGTTATATCGCAGCAAAGTCAAAAAAAAATTTTTTAAGATAGAGTTTGATGAACCCCCGGCCTTTTTTAAAGCCATGGTATAAGTAATAAATATAATATCGAAATGAATTATCAATTTTTGGGGCAATCAGAATGTTGGCATTTCAACCACGTCGCCATATTATAATTTCTTCACGTAAACCAAACCATGTCACGTCATTTCAAATGCTTTGACGTAACCATGTGAACGCATTCCCAACGGTACAATCAATCTAGACTAGAACACGATAGAATATATTAACAAAATCAAAAACTTGTGCCAACGTAGCATCATTTCACTGAGAAAATTGCAGTAAACTGTGACCACTAGGAGTTCATGAACATGATTTGAATGTGAAAATGTCCAATGAAGCATAACAGAGACAGGAACTAGACTGATGATACTCATTCTTTTAGACAGAATAAACTTGAGCTGGAGCATAACTTGTATTATTACCTGTGTAAAAAGAAAACCATTATTAGCTAGGAAAACCTTGAGAACGACAAGCGCGGCACAAATTTCTATAGAATGTGCTTGAAAAAAAAAACTACTTTGCCGGAATCATTAATGTACAATTACTGAAAAAACCCAAATTATGGCTCTGCGTACATAATTATGTCTAAAACGATATTTCTGTATTACAAGATAATGATGAAACTACAACTATTAGTTTCGTCCCCAATGCACACCACTTACAAAACGAGAAAAAGTAACAACCATTAGACCTGAGCTCTTTGAAGTGCCGCTAATAGCTGAGACTCTTTTCAAAGCCGTCTATTCATACCAGCACACCACTGCTAGGATTGCCAAGTTGGCTTTTCGTTATAACTCGTTTTAGGGCAAACCAAACGTCCAGCATTACTTTTTGCTTCGTTAACAATATTTACGCATTAGAACTTGTAGCCACATACAACATTTGTAGCGCGATATTGAAGCTGCACCAGATCAAATGCACAATAGAAGATCCGATTACACCACGAAATTATGCAGCACTTTACATTCGCTTGCTATGTAAACATTGCAAGGCTTAAGAAACGTTTCTGCAGTTTCTGCTTGCAAAACAGAGGGAAGCGGGTAAGAAAATGATACTAACGATGAGCACCACTCGGCGGGATATTTCGGTCTTTCTGCTCCTTCTGTTGTATATCGCGTGAGGATCAGTAATCCGCGCGGAGGCGGCGCTTAACGACCTTATTCGTTCCCCTGCCCACACAGGGCTAGGTGAACAACCGCCAAGGAGCGCTCTATCCGCAGATATTGGTCCTCTCCTCATCCTAACGTATACCGCCTGCGGAAAAATAGATCGCGGAGGCTGCGCCTAAAGCAGCCATACGAGTCCACTTTATCCACTTCGCTATTGGTCAAAGCACCAATCTGACCTATAGCGGAGTTGGAGAGAGAAGAGGATCAAGTGGATCAAGTCTGCCTAACAGCGACAATCGTTCCTCTACCCATACCGGGTAGGGAGAAATATCGCCCGTGAGCGCCGTGCCGATAAGCGCCATCTCCGCGGTCTACTTCTTTCATTTTATGATATACCGTGCGAGACCGTGGCGCCTACCGGTGTCCGTCTCTCTATCCCAATATAACCATCTTCAACGCAAACTAAAAGCCATGAATCAAATCTCATATGAGGATACCACTCTATAAAAAAATAACGAACAGCGATAGAGATATTGTCGATCGCCCACGAAAGAAAAAAATCGCGCGCCACAAGCAATAGCTGTGTGCCCTTTCCGGCTTTTACTTCTGCTCAGAATCAATCCACGTCATTGTCGGAACCCGGAATTCGGCGCTCGGTAACAAATGGGGGAGTGCCCAGTCCATTTGCAGCTTCCAGCCGACTCTCGCTCGTACGATGCCCGAGCGCTTTGGCGTGTCATTGTTCTAGGCAATGCATTCATCGTTCCGCCAAAGCTTCGAATCGATGCCGACACGGCCGTCGGCTCTCCGTGACGCGCTCGTTTTGCCAACGCCGCCGCGTGCACATCCGCGCGCAGACGATTTTCTGGAGATAATCTGAGAAATGATGGATTCGATGGAACCAAAGAGCACGACGTAATGCATAGCGCATCAATTCCGACCATGCGTGCAGAAGGTATGGCGATTGTCGTATGTCTTTTTCTGTCTCACAAATTCACCGAAAATATATCCCAGCAGTAGCGCAATCAGCTGCTTTGCTTGCCTGCCGAGGTTTGTCTAAGCAGCCGCAAACAATCTAGGCAATTCGTCACGTAAAGCCCCGTTTTGCAACCAGAACACAATCCCATAGGAAGTTTGGAGAAACGCTCTTTGATAGATACCTTCCCCTCGTACTTCTCTCATAAATTATGCAATGACAATTTGATGTACGGATTGTTAGCTATAAGATTAACGCAATTACTCGGGTACACATCCAAGGTTAAGAAAGCATCCATAACTATTATAAAGCAATTGAAAATGATTGCATATATGTGCACGTGTTCCAATTCCAAGCAGTCGTGATTGCCTCTTCAACGTTGTATGTTAGTATTATTGTAATAATTAAGTTGAAGGATTTCTCCACTGTAGAGAAAATCAGCCTGTATGGAAAGTGAATCTAAGTAGTCATCAAAGGTTGCTATCCTGAAATGACCTAATTCATATTCACGGTCCAGAAAAACGTTCCATTTGCTCTGACAAAAACGAAGAAAAGTCTCACAGAAACATACCGAAGACAGAAAAACGAAAAGCCAAAGAGAACTTTACAACTAAATTTCAACAAAATCTAATTTCCTGGGTGGATTGCGGCGAGGGATGCCTACTTTAGGCGAGAGAAATGAGTACTGAACTTATGTCAACAAGCCGTTTTGTCCATTGCAACTGCTGAGGGGTGGTGTTTCATTACTATCGCTGATCTAATGGATTTGCATGCAGAGCGGACCTTTATATTCAAGGTTCAAGCAAAAACAGAATTTCGTTTCCGAATCTGCTTCGAGCGACTAAAAATCGACACCGATATGTGCTACTACTTTCCAGAACTATTCAATTGGGTCACATGATACAAGTAATTTCTCAAAATAATATTTTTCGCATATCGCATTTTCTCCTCTAGATTTATGCAAGTGAATAGGGTGTGCCCAGTACGGGCGGAGGAGGGAGGCAGCCTTCACAAGCAATTTTCATGTTTTTTGCTCACCATATGTTCCTCCGCACTTGGGCAATAAATGTAGAGCCCACTATTTCAAGACCTCAATTTTGTCCACACGCTGCCTGTGGTGGAATTTGAATTTCTTCGTTCACCTTACTGCCACTTATTTGGCTAAATGAGTCCAAAAAAAGAACGGAGCATTTACGTTCATGCAATGCCACAGACACTTACTTCTGCCCTTATCCACTTCAATATAATTAGCGTTGCTACCAAGTTATTACCCAGAAGGAAGCCAATCTGTTGAAAAACAAACTGATATTACACTGAGACATTTGAACAAGTGAATTAGTGTCCATGCAATTACATCGACAGGAATGAGGGTAAAGCTGATTTTGAACTCGTAAAATTTCGTCGATAAATATTCCCAAGCGCTTAGAAATCAGCTATTATTTAAGGTCTTCTATTGCTTTCCATTCAACAAAAATTCGCCCATCCATCTAACAGTAAAAACTGATTGAATAGCCATGACTGGCATACATAATATGATAATAGCTACCAACAATCTAGTGGAGGCAATTCAGCCGTAACTACCAAAAAACTCATTGTATTATTATCAGAATTCAAAAAATGTCCTAGACATAAAACATATAATCAAACAAGTACAAAATGAACGTTCCAAAATCACACTGTATCGCTGTCAAAATCTCCTACCTCGGAAAAACATCATATATTTTCCACAAGACCCATCATCCCTCATACCCAGGTGTTGCCGTTTCACCACGCCCTTTCTATTAGGTTGTAACAGAATTAATGCAGGTTTTCCATATTTTGCGTTTGGACAGCTATATCTTTCCACAGAAATAGTCAATCCGTTTTCAGTAAAGACTACTGCAATCAGCAAACCTTTGGGAATTTAGTACCCACTATATGTCGTTATAGCTTCACTGAGGAAAATTTTATAGCCTAAAGATTGCCATAATTTCTCTTGGAAAACCTTCAATTTGAGAGGCCATAACTTGCTGCACAATTCAGTAGAATGATACAAATTTCACTCAATGTGTAGACAACAGTTGGTTGTGCAGCAGCCTTGAGCTTGAAATTTGTGAAAAAATTTTGGCTAGAAAATATCGAAAAAATTTGTGATCACTTATTTTTATCAATTGCTCTAAAAAGGCGAAAAAGTCCTTTTTTGCTGTATTTTAAATTTTCTCGCCCCCAAAGAGAATAATAAAATAACTGCCGTTTTTTTGCCATCGAATGTACTGTGCCTATTCTTTCTGCTCACGAGAAAGCTCTGCATTTGCTGCGCACTCAGATTTTTATACGCCGTAGAATGATAGCAGCTTTTGTTTGGGTTTAGAATGAGATTTCTCATTCTGGAAACTTTCAAAAAATCTGCTTTAATCTGCATTTTGAAGCAAGGGTCACATGCAAACATTATGTCAGTTTGCGAAAAATTCCGATTTTTCGCGGTGAATTTAGAGCAGAAAGTTTGAAAAGAAAATAATTCAGAGTTCAGCTCTTTTTGAATTTGAAGGCGCGTAATTTCGGGATGAATCCACTACTCTCGAAACCAAACATTCTTACGAAACTAGAAGAAGAGTGCTTTCAGATAATACGCATAGTTTTTTAAGACAGTGGAATTTCGTTTTGATTCAGCACATTGAAAAAGAGGTGCGAAAAACCTTCATTAATTCTGTTACAACCTAATACATGAAATCCGGCGCCATTTCCGATATATCGACTTTGCGTGGGTACATGTCAGAATTTATGCATGGATGTTCTGACGCAAAACTGAGTCGTAATTTTCACCCGCCACTGCAAGTTCTGTGTGTCCCAAATTGCAAGTCTGACCCACAATGAGTGGGTAGGAAAGACAATTTACGATGACTACGAGGTGCACTTTGGCTCTGATTCTGACATCATCAAATCACATAGTGATGTTTCCGGAAATGGCGTGCAATTCAGAAGAAAAAAGGAATGAAGTTTTAAGAGTTTACTTGACTTTCTGTACTTTGAAGAGGTGGACAAATAACAAGGATGTCCGGAACAAACTACGTCAAAAGTTCGGAATCAGGGCAATCGTGTTTGGAAATTAAGAATCCTGAAAATCAACAAACAGATCCGTTCTAAAGGGAAGAAACTTAGAAAGTCTACGTAATGATTCCGAAATAACTCAAGCAAGGCAGGCTTTTCTAAGCAGTTCTTGAATTTTCAAAATGTTACAAGGGAAAGATAAAATATAAGACAAAGTACCAAATTGAGCCACTCATCCTCAAAAGTTGATGAATATCACAACACAGCACCCGAGGCTAGACAGCATAGACCGCTAAATAATAAATTTTGGAAAGAAATAGATTCTTGGATAGCCAAAATTTTGAGAAAATGGCATAACCGAAGTCGTTTGCAGAAAAAAAAACGTTCTTGGAGATTGAAACAAAAAAAAGTGAAAATAAGGAAGTTCAATGTAAATAAATAGAATCTGGCTGAAAATTGACAATTGATAATGAAGATTCGCATAGTGAAGCTAGTCAATCACATCAAATAATTCAAAAGGTACGAAGCTTGAAAAATTCGCACCCTCGAAAAAAAGAAAAATTATCTGCAAGATTTGTGAGTTGTTTTCGTAAGAAAAACATTTATAAAAAAGGAAACTCGCTCCTGATTTTGCTGACTATAGAATTTTGTAGAAAACCAAATTCTAGGTAAAAATAGCAAAAAGTGGATATCACTGCACTTTTTTTACCCGAAATTTGATTATCACATACTCTACGTAAACATGCTCTCATATCCTACCTGACTCTCGACAAGCATCGCCATATCCATAAACATGTCGTGAAGCTCGCGGATACTGCTCTCTAACTTCATGATATCATTATGCCGCGCTTCGATGTCAGCTAGGGTTTGCTTAGCCTGAATGAAGAGATTCCACGGATATTGGTCATTCAGACAGGAAAAAACGGGGGCAAAATCTTGCCTGTTGGGTATCAGTGATAATTCCTTGCGTGAATACTCCGGGATTACCGCTTTCTATCATTTCTTCTAAATCTTCATCTCCAACTTGTTTTCCAGCTAAAAGAAGGTTAATTCGTTTTTGGTCTTTCATGCCCAGCATAAAATCAGTCCTATACCTATGTCAAGTTGTCGTTGGATACGTCCTTTGCACCGCTCACGATAGTCCGTTTGCGTTTTGTTGTAATCGGTCATAACTTCAACAAAACGTCGTGACAATGTGCTGTGTTGCGTTTTACGTATACGTAGATCCGCATTTCCAGCCCCAGCGGATTCATCATGCTCAATTGCATTCTCAATGAGCTTCAGCTTACCGCGAACCTAAATGCCAGCCAGCGTCTTATATGTATCCATGGGAATGCCACAGAGAAAAATTAATGAACCTTGTTTGCCGTCCGCTTGATGCTTGCCATGAGCTCATCGAGCTCCTCTTTTGTTTCTGCAAAGGAAAACTTTTTTACGTGTCTAAGCCAAACAATCCTATTTCCCATCTTCTTCCCTTGCAGTCGATCGACACATAATTTGTGCTCCCTCGACAAGCGACATTCTCAAACTGAGGCAATTATAGCTAACGAAAGCCGACCAACGTCCTACTAGTGAGAATATTTACTGAGAAAAGGGTGATCCTCTTCAGTTTTGAAGAAAGGCTCCTACGCTAGTACGTTAAAATTACAGCATTTTTACTAAAAAGCAAATGTGATGACGGTACCCCTTTATCCAATAATAATTCAGCAGAGTAATATAAACCATGCGTTACAAAACTTACTGGGATCATTGACGGGATTAGAAAGGATTGCTGAATGTTTCTTCTTCACTTCTTCTACACTGTTTGCAATAAGATCGACACTTCCGCGAATTTCTTCAACCTGCAGACATTTATTTTCACTAGTAACAAATTGCAATTTGCATTCTTTAGTCGAAAATTTGAATAAGCTATTAGCAAATTCTGATACACTCCGTCTCTATGGCAACGATAATCTTGGCAACCCTTCATGCTCGTCAATCCATATTCACTGAGATTACAGAATCTGCATGAGACTTGAGATTAACATAAATAAGATGGTTTAAGGTAAGATGAAGGCAAGCACCCTTTTCCTAATAGAAAAAGCCTTTCTTCCCAGCCTCGAACTTCCGGCGCAATTATGGACAATAATGCGAGTGGAGATTTAGTGCATCAATAAAACATGCGTCTATTATTCTCAAATTGCAAACGCGCTTTCTCATCAAAGCTATAGCTATTGGCATCGAGCCAGCAGCTGGATGTCGAACCAAGCCCGTAGTCGACAAAATCATGAAAAAAATTCTCCAAAATCGATACGTTGCCGGGGCGAAAGCACACGAAAAGCACACGAAAGCACATGCAAGACGCAGTCGAGCATCTCCAATGGGGCACATTGAAAACTACAATCATTTCACAATGGCTTTCATGATTTCGTTGATGGGCTCATTACCATAGACAACTCGCATGGATGGGCTTTTTTCCACCAAGCAATTTGCTGCCACTTAAACGCATGCAAGCATGGAAGCTTCGAGGTTTCTGGCTTCAAAAATTTCTAATGCAGCAGAAATCTGACAAGGTAAGAAAGTAAACAAAAGGTGATGAAAAGCTGCTTAGTGAGCGTGCCAGATAGTGAAAACAGCAACAAATGGTGAGATTTGTAGCCTTTACAAGAAACCACAGATACATTTAACATTTCTTTCCTTACAGAATAATTAATCGAACTTGTAGTATGCACAAAGAAAAATGATAAAAATATGGGAAAGGAATACGAGAAAATCATAAGCGAAAATGAGTCTAGTATACTGCAAAAACACAACAAATCAAACACACCTGTTCAAAGAATTCTTCCATGTACTGGGCATTGCCCGTATCCATTTGCATGTCCTCATCTTGTTCATCTTCTGACTGTGCTGCTTTAAGAGCACTAAGGCGATCCTTCGTCATTGTTCAGGAGTATAAATAAATCACAGTAACTAGCAATAGAGCGAATAATCAGATCAGAAATCGTGGTCTGTCAATGAGCATGCCTAAAATGGGAAGAGAGCGAATGTGTGTGTAGCCAAATAATCGCACGCACAATGCTGGGGAGTCTGAGCCCCGCCCCTACTGCCGGGTTGGGAGCTCGAAGCAGCTAGTGATAGCTGAAGAGGAAAAGCAGGCAAGCAGCAAGCGCTTGTCCCAAGAGTAATATACGGAAAGTGAAAGAACGCACGCGCACATATGCACCAAGCAAAGCGGAAAATTATCAATAAAATGGAGCGGGACAGACAGAGGGGAAATTCAGAGTGAAAAGCGAGGCTGTCATCACATAATAATGTGATGATGTGACGACAGCCAATTCGGCATTTGTCGACGCATTCGGATCGCAGAATATAATCACATCGTCCAATTATGCTCAACGAACAGATCTAGCCGTGATCGATACGCTGAGTGCAAACGCATCTGATTCTGTTTTTGAGATTTAGCGCAGCTTACTTGAAACAAACTTGTTCTTATCGCACAAATCGGAACGGGATTTGCTGCGAAAAAATCGCGTTTTCGATGTTTCACTATCTCTAAAAGACTAATGAATGATAAGACATCAGAGATCAAGCAGCTCAACCTTTCAAGTCTAAAAACGGCTTAAGAGAAAAGATTTTCATCTTCTTGAGATTTCATGTGAAACTAACATTAAGGTGTGGTTGAAATAAGCTGTTCTCCCAAATCAAGAAAGAAGAGAGGTTTGGAGAACAACAGGCCATCGTGTACTTAAATGTTATAGGGTACTTTGCTGCGTCAGACAGTTCAAATAACAAAATCGAATTGCATCTTTGAGTAGAACAGGGAAGCAGATATGACAATAGAAATCTTAAACGAAATTGGTGCTAACAATCTCAGAATCTGCAATATAAACGCGCTAATAATCTTGTATAGCCAAAATTTTCGTGAGGGAAGTCTAAAACCACATTTTGATGAGATATATAAGAAAAGAGCATTATCTTTTCTTCCTCATGATCAAAAGGATATGGTCAGAGAATTCTATTCGGCGCTTATCTTAATAGAATGAAAAAAAAAAGAATGTAGAGGGGAAAGAACATCATGACCGGGTTGAAATAAAGGCGATAAATGCACTGATTCAAAATTTATAGACCGCATTCGCTGTCGTGAGGGAATATTGCGAAATTTCATTTAGATAAATGTTTTCATAACAAAGTTGTTCGATGCCACACACAAAAGCGAAGGGCAATCGTACTTTGTGTGCCATGATTGAGGATAATAATCGCGTTAGTATCAAAAGTAACCCAGCTTCTCTCTGCACAATAAGCTCATTCCATCGTACATGTCGCTTCTTCGACTAGGCATTCAAGATATCGAATTTGTGAAGAAATTTTGTTGAAAGCAGTGAAATCGAAAACTCGCCAGCTTTGGTTTTGACAACATCAGCTGTACAAACAATCGATAGGAAGGGGAAAACGTCATCGATGACATTTCATAAAGCCTACATTTTATATGAGAACGCGGGATGGAAAACGAAGAAAGAAAAATTCTCTTCTCCACCACTTGAGCAAGAGAAATAACAAAAATAAAGATTACAGGAGTTGAGCAAACTGTTAATCAAAGATTAACAAAAATTTCAAGCCCGACCACAAAAAAGCGCATCAATATAGTACCCGAACAATTACTTCGCTGACGTTTACGCATCTCCTCCAACAACGATTGCTGACTTTAGTCACAAGTGTTGACTACTCTGCTTGTTATTCGCTCCCTCGGCTCTCATCCTCCGAGTTAGGAAGAAATCATCTAGAGCTTCAAAGAAACAAGCAAGGTTGCCAGGTGGATTCTTGAGGAGTCAAGAATCAAATTCCATAATGTAATGGATTCTTCTCAATGTATAAAAATTGTCTCTATGTTGAGAAATTCATTTTTGGGTGAAAGGAAAACTAGCAGACATGTAACAAATCAGCTAACTGGTCTAAAAACTCAAACTCATTCCCCGTCTCTCCATCTTCCAGGAAAAAAAAAGAAAAAGAAAAAGCTATTGAAACTGCCAATCTCACTGCAGAATAACATAGATTCGTCAAAAATGACATATATAGCTGCTGTAACTCTAACAAAGAGATGAGCGATACAGCTTTCCCATGTTGTTTACGAATAATCAATGGACTTGATAAAATATGGCATCTAGGGTATGAATCATTTACAAGCGTGTCATATTGATAAGGAAAAGCTGAGTCACACAAAAAAAGGAATTGCAAAAAAACAAGTACAATTTTCAGACAAAGATATGCGATATTTGAATACATCTTCAAAATGTAGCATAAACATAGACAGTACAGATTCATCAAACAGAAGACTCCATGATATAAGGGTGAGCTGGTGGTTGCGTTATGAATAAGAGCCCATTATAGTTGTGTAATTTAAGAAAAAACAATACTACAAGAGACACGTCTTATTTTGATGTACAAAAATGCCGTAAGTAGGTGGGTGTGATAATACCTAGACGAACATGGCAAATGGACATGCTTGAGTCATAGGCAAATCATCTATTTCACTGACTGTTTCACAAAGACTAATGAGCATCATAAAAACACGAAGAATGCCGTAATTACTTTACGAGGAACAAGCAGACGGCACAAAATCCGAAGACCAAAAGCAAAGGAGAAAGGAAAACGCATCCAGATCAAAGTAACGTGTGTAGTAACTTTAACAAGTGCTATTTCAGAAAAAAAAGGTCAAAAATATTTGTGCAAGCAACACCCCAGATAGCAGTAGCATCAGTGATAGCTTTGCAAGCTTTGGTTTTGTTGTAGAATGTATTCCCACAAACATTCAACTCTTATCAAGCTCAATAACAAAGTGAACGGCTGTACAAGTACTCTCAACAATACAATCAGCTTACCCACTGGACACACTTCCTCCCCCGTCGTCAAAGTACAAAGAGTATCTGTGCCACTACCTCTATCGGTAGTTCATGCATAATGGTACAGCAGCTGTATAACCTGTTCGCAGTACAAGAAGTGCAAATGTGTGCTTACACTAATTCCAGGTTGCTCAAATCAATTTATTCCACTTTCTTTACAATTAGTCGAAATTTTTTGGAAGATCTCAAGCATAGCGTTTTCTTTAATTTTTCGACCATCTAAGACCTCTTATATGCAGATTATTGCCTCATCCACATTAGAGTTGAAATTATGGTTACTAACTGTAAAATTAGAAACAAAAACTACCAAAAGAATCTTCATTGTGCTCATAAGGGTAGCCAGAAAACTGCCAAAAAAACTTTCTGCACGGATGCGAGGCATCTATGTGATTCATATTTGCATACGCAATTCCATTAATGGGATTGACCAAAGGAAAGCAACATCTTCGGATTTCAAAATCTAGAGTAAAAAAAAGCGACATGTGACATCAAAGAGAAAAGAGCTCTCAGAAATTTTTAGATTCACATGAAGGCTGCATCAAAGCTCTATGATGGACGAGATCTAAAAACAAATCTCTGTCTTTTCAAGAATGTACTGAGATCAAATTTGCATATATTAGGTCATACCGAAAGTTCTGTCGTTTCATTTTTGAAAAATCATAGCTTTGCGCTGTCACAACGGATTTACTTCCTTACATTTTTATTAGAAAGAGTAATCCTTCGCTTTCGAATGCTGTTTTGCGTAGCTTGCGCTTCACACTGGGTGCGGAGAGAAAAATGGAAAACTAAGACCATATAAGCTTTGATCATTTTAAGTTAGCTCACCAAAAATCTGGAATGCTGCAGAAAAATTTGAAATCGTCAGTACATATGTTTTTTGGCCTACCCTTGCATCTGTGAAAAGTTTGTGCCGTTTGGACGTCTCTGTGAGAAGTTGTGAATATCGAGTTTACTATGGAAAACACCAAAATTAATTAATTCGTCAATTTTAGCGAAAATCATAACTTCTCACAGAGACGTCCAAACAGCACAAACTTTTCACAGATGCAAAGGGTAGGCCAAAAAACATATGTACTGACGATTTCAGATTTTTCTGTGGCATTCCAGATTTTTGGTGAGGTAACTTAAAATGGTCAAAGCTTATATGGTCTTAGTTTTCCATTTTTATCTCCGCACCCAGTATGAATCGCGAGCTCCGCAAAACAGCATTCGAAAGCGAAAGATTTACTCTTCCTAATAAAAATGTAAGGTGGTAAATCCGTTTTGACAGCGCAAAGTTATGATTTTTCAAAAAAATGAAACGACAGAACTTTCGGTACGACCTAATAACATCGAGATGAAATCTTGATGCATTGTAACATCAACGGTGACCACACAAGTGTGGACATAAGCGCAGGGAAATGGCCGTGAATAGGGTGGATAATATCTAGATCTAATTTTGATGATAGAAACTGGTCCGTAGTTTTGCTTATGCTGGTATTTTTCCGACTCGGGTGTTGTCTGAATTATAAGAATTAAGACTTGACTAGCCTTTACCACACCAGCAAAGATTTGCAGATACTTTTGATAGAACCACTAAGTTACTCACAGCTACTGCATCTGACTAGGTCTTAGTTGACACATAAACATCTATAATACACTTTTTCGCAAAATTAACAACTGAACAAGAATTTGCTAGGAAAATGGAGGAAGAAGGAGGAATGGAGGAAGGGAAGGAAGAGGGGTGGGGGGAGGGGTGGTGGAAAGGAGCGAGCATTTCCGAAAAGAATCTGACATAAGCACACTCCGCACGGTGACTGCGGTAAGTGGCTTATTTTGTAGAAGAATAGTTTCGATGTTTCCATAAGCTAGCAGTCAATGAGCGGTCAGTGTGTCGCAAACACACAATTTCAAAACTCGCATTTTGAACGACTGAGTAGATAATTTAGATCTCCAATGGTGCCTGAATTGAATTCGGCCGAACTACTCCGCGATTTTTGTGATGCTCTATACAGAGCCAGCAAACTTCCACCTTTTACATTGCATGACTTAGATATGTTGGGTGCTCCACCACTACTTCCTCACTTTATTCTGCTCTCCACCTTAGCCTCGTTGGCTGAGATTGAAAAGAGAAGGATGCGCGAATTGTCGACTGCAGTACGGTCATCACAATCATTGTGTAAGAGGAGTTTCATCGCTTCACGGGTAACGGAAATCGCAGAAATCACGGGAAAGACAAAAGGAGAATGGCCGAAAATTCGAAGATAGCGGCACAGAGGCGAGCTGATAATGGAAAAACTGATT